CCTACTTCCGTAGTGATACTGCCTCGGAAACCCAAGGAGGGGTCGCTATGAGTTGGGGCCGACTCGACGGCACATAACAACAACAACAACAACACTGAAATGTACATATAGCAAAGAATAATTAGCTACTGGCTCTTAGCTGTTCTTTTCATTTCATTAACCTCAGTAACTTCTCATTCTCAGAAGTTTTTCATAAAATTTCTAAAATCCATATCTGTAGCAAAGAAAATCAGTTTCATAGTTTCAGAAGTAAACTCATTACAAATGGAGAGGTGGAACAGCAATAGTGATTAAGAGCATGGATGCTTGGGAAAGATTAACTTCCACCTACTACTATCTGTGTGATGCTGCACTTGTTGCTCTATTTCTCTGCCTCAATCTCTTCCTCTGTAACATGTGGATGAAACCAAGTAAAGTCAGAACTATTTCCCCCACCCTGGTTAAGGCAGATAATTAGAACAGAGAGGATCCCGGATGGGAATAGATAAGTAAACTTAATTACCCTCAACTATTTCCCCACCCTGGACCCCGGTTGGAGATAGATGAGTAAACACATAGGACTCTTGTTAGAAACAGATGAGTAAATATAATAAGCTCAGTTCCTTAAGAACTGAATGGAAAGAAAACATTCTTTCCTGCTGTTTCCTTAGGCACAGGTGATAAACACGTTAATGTGCCTTAGAAAACAACTTGAAAATTAACTCTGGTCCGTGGACATGCGCAGTGGGGCAGAGAGGAACAAAGTTACTGGGAATGGACACTCTCCCCTCTGCCTAAGCCCCATCAGCTTATGACAGGAAGCTGGTGTGACTCATCTGGCAGGTGCACTGACTTTAATTAGTACTGTCCCTTTAAACTGAGGTGAAGGAAATTTCAGCCAATCATCAACCATCTCAAGTCCAAATTCCTGAAATTTTTATGAATATGCATAACCCTCACTTCTGAATCCTACAAAAATGTAATTAGATGGCATTTCAGGGAGTTAGATCTGGGTACGAGTGTACCCCTCCTCCTTGCATTGCCGCTTTGCAATAAATAATTTTCTCTCCTCTCAATCACTCAGTGTGTAAACTGTTTTGGCCTGACTGCATACTGGGCAGGGACCCGCATTTGGTCCTCTTTCAGGGATGGCAATATCATCTACAGGATAGACTTGCTCATTAATATAGATAGAGCATTTAGTACAATGTCTACAAATTTTAAGTTACTATCTTCTCCCTCCAACCATCCATTCAGTTAATGGTACCATGAGTCAATCTATCATAGAATTGAGAAACCTGGAAATATTTATTTTAGACTACCACCCACTTCTTCCTCTACCACCACAACAAACTAAAAACAAAAAACCTAAATTCACTGCCATCAACTCAATTCCAACTCATACGACTCCCACTGGGTTTCCAAGGCTGTAAATCTTTATGAAAACAGACTGTCCCACTGCACCCCCAGAGCTCCTGTAATTCTGGTTCTTCTGTCTGACCTGAGCAGGTTCACTTATTCCTACTTCCACTTGCAGTGGGTTTGCTGAGGTCATGTTCATTACTTGTCAAAAGTTTGCCCATTATTTGCTTCCTCCCTAGGCTCATCTCTACCCTTCCTTCATAGCACCATTGAAAATACTCTTTATACAATTCAAATTAATCAGGCAATAATCCTTCTGATTTTTTTTCTTTATATTTTACTTATTTTGTTGTTGAGATTTTACACAGCAAAATATATACCAATTTAACAGTTTCTACACATACTGTTTAGCGATGATGATTATATTCTGCAAGTTGAGCATCCATTCTCACCCTCCTTTTAAGTTCTTCCTCCCTCATTAACATAAAGTCACTGCCCCTTAAGATTCCCATCTTCATCTTTCAAGTTGTTGTTGTCACTTTGATCACATAGAGAATTCTTACAAGAGCATAATGCTCAAGGCAAACCTTTTTCACTAGTTAAGCTAAACAACTGTTCAGTTGTAAGATGACTTCAGAGGATATTGTTGGCATAAGGTTTAAAGATTATCTCAGGGCAACACTTCCAAGGGTTGATCCACCCTCCATGATGCCAGAAAGTCTGGAGTCCTTGAGAATTTGAAATTCTGTTCTGCATTTTCACCATTTTGATCAGATTTTTCTATGGAATCTTTGATCAAAATATTCAGTAAGGGTAGCTGGGTACTATGCAGTTCTTCTGGTCTAATTAGAAAGGAGAAAGTTAGTTAATTCTTCTGATTTTAAATTCTTTCTTCCTTCTTAAGAAGTTGAGGAAAAGCTGTTCCCTAACATGGGCTATTTCTGTTCCAACATCCCGTGACGCTTGAGCTGAGAAATTTAAAAGACAGTTCCTTCCTACCTCCCTCAACTTCCATTTTTCAGGTGTGCACATAAATAAGACCTTGAAACTCACTTCCGAAAGTCTGCAAGTAACTTCAGCATGTCATCATTTGATAGCTTATTGCTGTCTTGCTTGTAGAGGGCAGAAAATCTAGCATTTTTATCAAGGTTTCCAGATGCATCCTTAAACAATGTCCTGAAATATAGGGGGAAAAAATCTAAATTGGATTTTTAAAAGACCAAAATAAATCCATAATTTAACTCTGATTTCAATGTGAAGATGAATTATTACTCCATTGGCTACTATCAACAGAAATCTCATTATCTAAAAACATGGAAGATATTTATGAAGATGAACACAACTAACTCAATTTACATAGAAAATAATTCCAGCAAATGCCTTGTGCTTAGGAAACAACATACATAGACAAGTACTTAAGAAGTAGAGACCACAACTGCAGCCCTCAGTGGGCTGCCACTCTACTCTACTACGGGCCAGGGACATGAGACTGGGAACTGGGATCCCATCTCTGTAGCAAATATTCTTGTCTGTCCTGCTATTTCCAACATGGCTATCCTCTGGGCAGCATCTTTTTCCTATGTGACTCTAACAGATGATTTTTTCAGATTTAGGTACTACTTATTTTTTCATTTTACACACTTTAATCCTCTTTCTCTCTGGACAACACAGGTTAGTCTAGTCTGTCTATATTAAATATCTATATCCATATATCTGTATCTGTGTGACAGGTGCTTCCCTTACCTTGCTGCCCAAGCAAATGGCATTCTGTACTGTCCTAGTCTTTGACATGCCTGCTTGGCGTTCTTCAACACTTTCTGGGCAACCTTGAAAACATCAGAATAAAACACATCAGGTACTGCATCCCAATGACAGGAGAATTATAAAGAGCCATCATCACATATTCATTAAACAAGCCATTAGTACAGTACCAGATGTACAGAAAAATGCATTTTATAATAAAGAATATGGCTGGGTCTACAATCAATACAGAGTTTTAGTTTAATGTATTTTCTAGCAGTGATTCCCCAAGAATGGACCACAACCTGGTATCATAAGAGAATCCTCTTGATAGAATGCACCTCTTTTCTTTGGTCTTCACATGCAAGACAGACACTGATTTTTAACACTTTTATAGTTCTTTATGACTAAGGCTTATCACTGGCTCAGTGAATTATTAATAATTATTAACATTTAGTATTCAGGCCAAAAGTTATCACATTATAACAGTTTTATGAGGACACTGTAAATACCAAGCTTCCACAGCTCCTAAGTGTGCTGGCTTGTGCAAATTCCCATAAATTGGGGAAGAGATATTCATTACAATGGCATTACGAGTGTTGACTTAAGTTGGCCAGAGTGTTCAGCTGCTATGTTCTTGCTTTTTAAGCATCAATTGTTGCTATTTTCACTTCCTAATAACCAACTTTGGTTTGCTGTGGGTTGATTGATAGCCCTGTAGAGGATAGCAATTCATATTTGTTTTTGGCCTGTATGCCTGGCAGTTCCATTATTAATAAACTATACCTGTACTGCTAAAGCAGACATTAACTAATTTTTCCCAAATTTGCTTATAATGTGGTACTATATTGTACTGATACAAAATTTGATCGACTCAGAGTGTCAGAGCAGTAGTTGAAGGGTCTTTTACATTACTTAAGTCCATCAAGGTGTCCTGGGTGATGCAAATGGTTAATATGCTTGGCTGCTAACTGAACGGTTGGTGGTTTGAGTCTACCCAGATGTACCTCAAAAGAAAGGTAAGAGTTTGGCTACACTTTTCATCTTCTAGTTACAAAACTTTATGATTCTACCATAATCATGGTATGAGAATTGTTGCCTTTGTGAATGAATCAGAAAACAAATCTGTACTGAAAAAAAAAAAATGTCAGGTGATCATCTAGTCCTTGCCTTTCAAGTAGGATATATTTATGTCTCCCCAAGGTGACTAAGTTGGGTCTCTAGTATATGTGGTCATTACATAAAATGGGCTATCTTCCTGGAACATCAATTTTCACATTTTCATGTAGAAACAATTTCTTTAGGTTTTAACAATAATGAACATGTTGGAAACTATAATACTTGTATAAATTTTAAAGCTAAAACACAAGGTTTTAATTAAGTTTCACTCTTCTGCACTTCTGGCAAGATGGTGCAATATGCAGACAAGCTACATAGACCCTCTTCAACAAAGAAAAGAGAAAACAGTTGACACAGAAGATAATCCTGGAGCCCTGAAGTTTGAAAGGAAGGGTAAAGAAGTGGCTCAAATACCAACTAGAAAAAGAACCCAAATGGAAACAGTGAATAAGGAGATAAACAGAGCTGTAGACTGTTGGCTATCCCAAAGGCACAGCCAGTTTGAATATTCACAAGTGGCATTAGGATCTGGGCAATAACCAAAGAACCAGCCTTGCTTTCCAAGGGCTGCATGGACAACTGCAGTGGTGGCCTGAAGATGAACACTAAAATTTCAGAAATAGATAACTTTGTGTCACCTCAGATACAAAGACAAAAATAGACTAAAAATCAAAGGTTGGAAAAACATCTATCAAGCAAATAGCAACCGAAACAGGGCAGGAAAGGCAATATTAATCTGATAAATTTGACTAAGACAAAAACCACAATAAGAGACATTATACAATGATTTAAGGATCAAGTGAACAAGAGGATATAACCATAATAAATACTTACTCACCCAATGAAAGTCCCCCAAAATGCAGACTTCAACAGAATTGAAAAGACAAATAGATGACTCCACAGTCATAATGTTGTTATTGTTGTTGTGTGCCATCGAGTCAGGCCTGACTCATAGCGACCCCTCCTTGGGTTTCCAAGGCAGTATCACTATGGAAGTAGATTGCCCCACCTTCCTTCTGAGGAGTGGCTGGTGGGTTTGAACTGCCAGGCTTCTGGTTAGCAGTCAAGTGCCTTAGGCACTATGCTACCAGAGCTTCTCCAGTCATAATAGGATACTTTAATACATATTTTCAATGAAGGATAGAATTGGGAAGAAACTCAACAAAGATGAAGAACTAAACAATATAATCCACCAGCTTGACCTTATACACATCTACAGAGCACTTCACCCAACAACAGCACAATATACATTCTTTTCCAGTCCACATGGAACATCTCCAGGACACACTATATGTTATGGCACAAAGCAATTCTCAATACATTTAAAAACATTGAAATACTGTAAAGCATCTTTTCAGATGACAACACTATGAAATTAGAAATCAACAATAGGAAGATCAACAGAAAAAGATAAAACATATGGAAACTGAATAACAACCTCCTTAAATACTAGTGGGCAACAGAAGAAATTAAAAAATTAAATTAAAAAATTCCTTGAATCAAACAAGAATCAAAACACAACATACCAAAATCTTTGGAATATAGCAAAAGGCCAATTTAGAACAATAAATGCATACATCAAAAAAGAGCCAATAAAAAGAAAAAGATACCTTAATCCAACATTTCCAACAATTCGAAATAGTTCAGGGGGAAAAAAAAAAGCCAAAGTCACCACAAGAAAAGAAGTAATAATTCAAGCAGAAATAAATGAAACAAAATGACAAATGAAAAAAAAATCAAGACTAGAAGTTGGTTCTTTGAAAAGATTAATAAAATCTACAAACCACTGGCAAACTCAACAAAGGAAAAGAGAGAGAATACAAACAACACAAAAAGAAACAAAATGGGAGCTGTCACAAGATAACTGAAATAAAAAGGTTAATATATCAGGATACTATGAGAAACTGTATTCCAACAGATATGAAAATTTATAAGAAATCCATTTCTAGAAACATACTACTTACCTAAACTAACACAGACTGAGGTGGAAAATTTGAACACATCCATAACAAAAGAAGAAATTGAACAGGTCATAAAAAAAATTACCAACAAAAAAAAGTCCTGGCTCAGATAATTTCACTGGAAAATCCTATCCAACATTCAGGAATGGACATCAATCCTACTAAAACTATTCCAGAACACAGAAAAGCATGGAATCTTCCCAAATTCATTTTATGAAGCAAGCATAATCTTGATACCAAAACCAAAGACATCACTAAAAAAGAGTACTACAGACCAATATCCCTCATGAATAGATGCAAAAATCTTCAACAAAATCCAAGCCAACAGACTCCAACAACATATCAAAAAAATATACATCATGACCAAATGAGGTTCATACCAGGTATGTAAGGTTGGTTCAACATTATAGAAATATCAACTTAATTCATCTTGTAAGTAAAATAAAGGAAAAGAACTATATGATAATATCAATTGATGCAGAAAACTCATTTGAGAAAATTCAACACCCAATCCTAATAAAAACATTCAGAAAAACAGGAACAGAAGGGAAATTCCTCAACATAATGAAGATTGTATATAAAAAGCCAATAGCCAATGCCATTCTCAATAGAGAGAGATTGAAACTATTCCCTTGAGAATGGGAACCACACAAGGATGCCCTCTATCACTACCTTCCATTCAACACTGTACTGGAAGTCCTAGCCAGGGCAATAAGGCAAGAAAGGGAAACCAAAGGCATTCAAATTGATAAGGAAGAAGTAAAATTGTCCCTATTTTCAGATTATATAATCCTATATATAGAAACCCCAAGAGATTCAGCAAGAAAACTACTAGAACTTATTGAAACATTTAGCACAGTGGCAGTATACAAGATCAATATATGAAAATCAGGTGGATTCTTCTACACCAGCAAAGAAGTCTTGAAAAGGAAATCAATACCATTTATAATAGTTACCAAAAAGTAAAATCGTGGGAATAAATCTTACCAGGGACACAAAAGATCTCTACAAAGAAAACTACAAAACACTACTTCAAGAAGCCATAAGAGATCTACATAAATGGAAGAACATACCATGCTCATGGATAGGAAGATTGAACATTGTGAAAATATAATACTACCCAAAGCAATCCATATATTCAATGCAATCCCAATCCAGATTCCATCAACCTTCTTTAAGGATATGGAAAAACAATCACTAATTTTATAGGGAAAGGAAAGAGACCTCGGATAAATAAAGCATTCCTGAAGAAGAACAACAAAGTAGGTGGTCTCATACTCCCAGATCTCAAAACCTTCTACCCAGCCACAGTAGTTCAAACAGCCTGATATTGGTACAACAGACACAAAGACCACTGGAACAGAATTGAGAACCCAGAAATAGATCCACCAACCCATGGTCAGTTGATCTTTGACAAAGGGCTGAAATCCATTAAATGGGAGAAGAAACAGTCTTTTTAACAAATGATGCTGGCAAAACTGGATATCCACTTGCAGAAAAATAAAACAAAATGCATACCTCACAACATACATAAAAATTAACTCCAGATTGATCAAACAATGAAATGTGAAGCCTAAAACGATAAAGTTCATCAAGGAAAATGTAGGGGTAAACTTAGAGGCCCTAGTTCATGGTATAAACAGACTGTCATGCATAACCCAAAATGCACGAACAGCAGGAGATAAACTAGATTGGGACCTTCTAAAAATTAAGTTTTTATATGTTTCAAAAGACTTCTCCACAGGAGTCAAAAGAGAACCTACAGATTGGGAAAATATATTTGGCAACAACCTATCTGACAAGGGACTTATCTCTAGAATTTATAGAAAACTCCAACACCTCAACAACAAAAAGATAAACCAATTAAAAAATGGCCAGAAGACACGAATAGACACTTCACCAAAGAAGATATTCAGGCAGCCAACAAACACATGAAGAAATGTTCACAATCATTAGCCATTAGAGAGATGCAAATCAAAATAGTAGTGAGATGCCATCTCACTCCA